GAGAATCATTGATCACTGCCTCCTGCATGCCCCCTACTGGGAATCGAGCCCACAACCCCAGTCATGTGCCATTGACCAGAATCGAACCTGGGGCCCTTTAGTCCGCAGGCTGACACTCTATCCACTGAGCCAAACCAGCTAGGGCACCAGTGTCTTTTTAAATTACCAATAAAACAACCCTATGGCACCCCATCTGAATGCAAGCCCAGCTCCTTACCCCCTTCAGTTACCGAGTACTTGCCTCTCTCCAACTTCCTTGTTCACTTTCCCCTCACTCATTCCCATAAAACACTTTCTTGGGATCCGTCCATGGGTGGCTCTTTCTTAGCCTTTATATTGTGACTTAAATTTCGCTTCCTCAGAAACCTTTCCTGATCCCCTAATAGAAACTACTCTTAACCTTTACTCTTCCTTAAAATTTATTACTACTGGATATTTTTCTTCTTTTCAGTTTCTTCCCAAGTAGAAAGTAAACTCCATGAGAACAGAGTTCTCTTTTGTTGAATGTAACTTGGTGTATAGTGCATGGTGGAAGAATAGTGAATGAACAAGCATGTAAAGATACAGAAAGATATTCAGTCAAATATTGCTTGTGGAAGAATATAAGCGTGGCAAAAACCAAAAAACAAACAAAACAAAAAATTCCACCAAAACAATAACAAAAATAGAAACTACCTAAAAGCTAGGTGCTTGTATTATAATACATCTATACAATGAATGCATTTATTTAAAATAATGAGGTCAATCTATAAGTGTTGATACAGAAATAATGTCCAAATTGTATTCAGATTAACCTAAAAATGAAAGGGCCTTTCCAAGTGAGAGATATAAGCCTTGATTTGAGATCAAAAGAACAGCTTCAGTGTTTCCCCGAAAATAAGACCTAGCGCATGGAAAGATAAGACATCCCCTGAAAATAAGACCTAGCGCAACTTTGGGAGAAAAAATTAATATAAGACACTGTCTTATTTTCGGGGAAACAGGGTAGCTATAAAGACACACTGATTCAGATGGTAGCTCAAACAGTGCTCAGATCAGGAGACAAAGGCAATGGTATTTATCAGAAAAGGGAACCACATCAATAGTAGGAGGGCTTTTCTACTGGTGCAGATAGCATGACATAGTGATATTAATTCTCAATAATGATTTTAATTGTCAGTCTGGCCACCTCCGTGGAGTGGTCATCTCTGCTTTACTATCTTTGTAAAACGTTCTCTGGCACACAAGGTTGCTTCAGGCTGTCAAAGGTTATTTTGCCGTTTTAACATTCCAAATACTTCAGACATCAGATGTGCAAGGCAGTTCCTCCAGCATGGCTCCATTTTAAATTGGATCCCTGTATTTGTTTTTGTTTTGACAATACACATATTTGGTAGCCAGCTTCCCAAAGGACCCCTAGTGATCCTTGCCTCCTAATGCCCTTAGGTAGTCTTCTCCAAATTGAATGGAAGCTGTGAAATCAAGAGCATCAGGAAAATGACGTTGTATGACTCCTGAGGTGAGGCTCTAAAAGGCACTGCAGCTTCCCCATGTCCCCTTGGGTCGCTTTTTTTGAGGGAAGCACCTTATGGGGAGGCCCACGTGGAGAGAGACTAAGGGCTTCTGTCAACAGCCAGCACCAACGAGCCAGCCCTGCGAGGGACCACACTGTACATGGATGACTGCAACCTCACCACATCCCCAGCCAGAAGCATCAGGCTGAACTGCTCCTGAATTCATGACCCACAGAAACTGTGCAAGTTACTAAATGTTTATTGTTGTTTTAAGTGACTACATTTTGAGGTAATTGATTATGTATAAATATAACAAATACATAACTCCTCTTTTACTAAAAAACAAAACAAAACAAAACAAAAAACCCACAAAACATACAAGTACACAGGCGTACACGTGCATAGAAATGTCACAAGAAACACAAAGGGAGTAACGGGTTCTGACATGGTGGGTCAGGAGGGGGAGATATCACTTTTTACTATTTGCTCATATTCTCAGATTTACAAAAACCACATTATTTCTACGACTTTAAAGTGTTTGTTTTTATAAGGTTTAAGCAAAACAGTGATAAGAGGGATAGGACCATAATAATGGCCCTTCCTAAGCTTTCTTGTCCCTCATTTTACTAGATTTTGTCCCACTCCTGAGACGTAGCTTTGAAATAGGGTATTCGTTAAAGGCCTTTGACTAAACCAAATACTGGAGGATTGGTTGTTTTTGTTTTTAATATTGACACATTTCACTGAGAATATCATCCCCACGACTTGGCTGCTACTAAGGCAGGAATCCGTATTTAGTTATTGGCATTTAATAAGGCAATAATGTTGCACTAACTCTTTGTGGGATGAAGGAATGAGCCACTCACACCATGTTAGGTGCTGATGATTTGTGTTCATGATGGAGCCCACATACTGGGGCTGTGGTTTCTGCAGAAGGAGGTGGCTCAAAAGTCTAGTTGTGTCTGATTTCTCACCAGTAAAGACAGATCCCGGGAGATATTCCACAGACCGACCAAGTGGTAGAGGCCAGGGCAGCTCATACCCAAATCACAGAATTCTTCATCCTCCCCAATAAAGACATTTCCAAAGGGTAACTCCAATGACAGTATTTGCATTTAAATAGGATTCCGTGAAATCCCATGCCGTGTATAAAATGGAGAACTTCATCCCTGAGCGTTTTGTTTTCTCTTTTCATTTCAGGATTGGGGTGGACTAGAGGCATGCTTTTGACTAGTGTGGGATCAGAGTTATCTTTTAAGACACCCAAACGCTGCAGCACAAACCGGTAATTTTAATCAATGAGACCAGGCCGCAGTGACAAACTGTACCTTTGATTTGGTGATACATTCATTCCATTCCCCTCAGGAGCCTCCTACAGGCTTAAAGTTTCAGGAACAAAGATGTAATCACTGAACTATGCATACTGATGAGATTATAGCCTCAGGATTTATGAAATTGAGATAAGCGGGAAATTAATTACTTCTGAAACTCCTGCTGCAAACAATCATAACATTCAAGAATATGCCCAGTAACCTAATTCCAATCAAGTCAGTTTGGCTAATGTGTCCTGCACCATGGAAGGCAAATCCACATTACCTTAAAATTGAGAGAACCCTCTTGGTAAATGGAACTTGTGGAATGCTAAATATTCAAACTTTGAGGTGGTTTAGAAAAATCAGACCACAATAAGTCCGATAACACAGGAACAAAGACAACCGCACCCAGCACTTCTCTGCTCAGACCCAGAGGTCTCACAAGCCCTATGGAGTGTAACTCAGGTAGACCAGGGCTTCATGAACCACTCTCCAAAGGCACAAGAAACAAATGTAACTTAAAAAGCTTTTGCTTTAACAAAACACATTCTTATGACTATTTCTCAAGTTATTTTCTTTATACTTCGTAATGCAGATTCAAAGACTTGGTTAAAAGGAACCAAGAAAAATACTTAATCTTCAACAGGGCAATGATTAAATTACAGTTATCCATACATGAAATACTACCTAGTCATTAAAAATGAGGAAGATCTATTCCATTTGTACTGATTAAAAACTTGCACATATACACATTTATATACACATACATATTCTTATTTTAACATTTATTCTTATTTGAAGGGTTAATATACATATATTGTATACAAACAAAGTATAAAAATTAACCCTCTGGGAGATGAGAATGAGCATGGGTAGCTAAGAAGAAAATATTTTAGTTACATATTTTTGTTCAGTTTGGGTTTTTTAGCATGTGTTATGAAAATGACTAATAAATAAACGGTAAATACTAAACATTTTTTCCCACTGAATCCCTCCACAGAGCACCTGCAAGGCCTGTGAGCCAATTGTTTCTGCTCCCTTTTACTCGGTGTCGACCATCTGTTGCTTTCTTACCTGTAAAATGGAGACAACCACACAAGCCTGCTAGAGACTCAAAGCAGAGGAAGGCATGGACGTGAAAGGGGGCAGACCGGAAATGAGGTCTCATCAGCAGACAGAGGAATAATAGTAATAATGCTACTAATATGTATGACTACAGAAATGTGCCCAATGTTTAATCCTAATAACTCAGTGAGAAAGACATTATCCTCACTTTACAAATGAGGAGACTGAGGCACAGAAGTACTTTCCCTCCGGTAACAAAAATAAAGTGATAGAGCCGGAACTTAGCCCTGCCTGGTAGCTCATGATTGGCACGCTCAGCCAGTAGGCTGTGCTGCTTCAATTCAGATTGGTAAAAGTTCAAAAGATTCATAAATCAAGTGTGAATGAGCATTTCAGGAAACAGGCACAAATGCACTTTTTGGTAGAAGTATAAATTACTGAAGGCAATCTGGCAGGTTACCAAAATTTAAAATTTAAATAGGTGTCTAACTTTTTACCTGGCCATTATACTTCTAGGAACATAAAAAAAAAAAAAAAAATCTGCACTCAGATGTTCAATGCAGCACCATCTTAATGGGGGGGAGGGAGGGGGAGTGGAGCTCTAGGTAGGGAAATGATTAAATACATCACAATATAGTCAAAACATTAGTCTATTCTTTAAAAATGAAGGTCAGCCTATGGATGTAGACATGGAAAGAATTCTGAATTGTAAGTAAATGAAAAATAACTACCATAGAGCAATATGTACAGCATGGCACTTTTTTATGTAAAAATAAGGTGTGAGCCTTGCATAATTTCTTCTTAGAAGAATGATGTTGCTTGCCCTGTTACGTTCCTTCTCTCAAACACACACACACACACACACACACACACACACACACACATACACTTCAAAAAGAGGTTGTAAAAAATAGTCATGTGAGCCCAAGCTGGTGTGGCTCAGTGGATAGAGCATAGGCCTGGGGACTGAAGGGTCCCAGGTTTGATTCCAGTAAAGAGCACATACCCAAGTTGTGGGCTCAATCCCCAGCAGGAGGTCTGCAGGAGGCAGCCGATCAATGAGTATCATCATTGATGTTTCTATATCTTGCCCTCTTCCTTCCTCTCTGAAATCAATAAAAATATTTTCAAAAAATAGTCATGTGATTTATAAATCACACAATAAAATAATTATTTCAAAAAGTCACAAATACAAGTTGTATAAAGTCAGTCTGGAGTCAAGTACCCTTTAGATATATTGCTGCAAATCACATCTATTTTTTTTTCCAAACAGATGTGGTTCAAACCTGGTGATGGTTTTATAATTTCATATTTGATAACAAGGGAACAAAACTGATAATAAATAGTCCAACAATAATTTCTTAAAATACTAAGTGATAAATTCTGATCCTTGTTGCGAAACTCAGGCTACCTGAAGATTTCGCTGATGTCAGTAAAAAATTACACAGCATTTGTATTTTCAAGTTTAAAATCCTGTTGCATTTTCCTCGAAATGATAATGATACATATAAAAGCTCAAGATTAATAAAGAAATTGAAAGACCCAGTAAGTCAACAAAACCAATTTCCTTATAAGCTGAACATAAAAGGGACACAAAGCATTCTGTCTGCTTCTCTTTTTAAAAACTACCACGACCCTTTGTCCAGTAACAGCAGCAGCCAGACCCGTGGGTCTCAGACCTGGTGTGCCTGAGCTTTGCGCAGAAGCTTGTCAGCACACGGGTTCCTGGGCCTGTCCCCAGATTCCGAGCTCTCATTCCTGAGTCTGAAGAGCCTGCAGCATTTTTAAACAAGCAGCTCACTGCCTTCGATGAAGTGGGACAAGAACCCCACTGACCATTCAGATGCTGCTGCCCAATCCCAGCTTGCTGCCTCTGGTGAGAAGCCTGACTCTGGGCAGCTCCCTCACCTCTTTCAAAGTGTCTTCCTCCATCAACTCAATCAATTGGACATATCATCCCAGGGGGTTCTTGAGCCCTAACAAGACAGTGCTTGACCCAAGATGTATAAGAAATGTAGTTTCCACTAAAAAGTTAGTCTTCCAAAACCAGTTTTTGCAAGTCACTGGGTTTGCTGTGTGTGTGATTTTTGCGGGGCCACCTTCTAGGAAACCTGAAGTTCTATTCTGGGAGCATCTGAGTAGAGACATTCTGAAACTGGCATTTATGTCACCTTCGTGGGTACAGGGAAGCTTCCAGCAATCCTGAAAGGTACTGCACAACCATGGCACGTGGTTAAGACCCTCTTGGTTAGGAAACAACAGAAACATCCCCATAACGTTAAGCAAGCTCCGAAGCCTCCCGTCAAACTTCCATCCGCGAAGCTGGAATGCTCAGTAGGAGGTTTTAATGGTGGTTGAGCTTGAGGAGTACGAGCTGGATTTCCTGGAGGATTTCTTTGACGTGAGGGATATTTGCATCCGCTTCACCTTACGGACACTTCGACAAAGAAGAGCGTTCTTTGCGTGATTCCTGAAGTCTTCTGAGACAAAGTAATAGACAAAGGGGTCGATGCAGCTGTTGAGGGTGGAGAGACAGAGAGCTACGATGTACAGGGCATAGACGGAGCTCTGGCCCCAGTGTTTAATGGTGAAATAGTGCACCACCAGCAGAATGTTGCTGGGAGTGAAGCAGACCAGGTACATGACCAGGACAGTCACAATCAGTTTGATGGCTCTCCTCCTCCTCTTTCCCGAGTTCTCGTCGATGGCAGAGGATTGAAGGGTTCTGATCATCAGCACATAGGCAGAAGCCATGAGGATGGCTGGGAACAGGAAGACTCCGAGGGCCAGAGAGAGGAAGTAATTGAACATGTCCCCCACCAGCACCTCCTCGGGTAAGACATCGTGGCAGGTGGTGATGTTGAGGGCAGGGATGTAGCTGGTCTGCTTCACGAGATACAGGGGGATGGTAACCAGCAGAATCAGCAGCCATATTCCCAGGGAGATGCCGATGGCGATGTTTGCGTTCTTCCTGGTGTGCGCCATGGGGTTCACGATCACCCAATACCTCTGCACGCTCAGGCAGGTTATGAAGAGGATGGAACAGTACATGTTGCCATAGAAAAAGCCAATGAGCACCTTGCACAGAGATTCCCCGTAGGTCCAGTTGTTGCCATGTATGTGATAGGCAATCTTCACAGGGAACCAGATGATAGAGAGGAGGTCTGCCAAGGCCAGGTTGGCCATGTACACCACCGCAGGGTGCTTCTTCTTTGTTCGGAAAAGGAAGATCCACAGGGCCATGCCATTACTCGGCAAACCAACCACAAAGACAACCGTGTAGACAATCGGAAGGAAGACAGTGGTCAGCTTTCCAGTCAGGAGGGAGGCAGAAATCTCATCCACAGAAAGGCCTGGCTCCACTGGAACGCTTCTCCCAGGGATTGGAGATGAGTCACTGATTCTACCAATTATACTTCTTCCCTTAGAGGGTTTGTTGGCTCCTGTACAAGAGAGGCAAGGCAGACAAGGGTCATTCCAGAAACCAACGTTTCAGCAGTCACGCTGGTATGCATGAGTAAAAGCACTGCGGATAAAGACAGGAGGACACGGAATGCCAAAGGGGCTTTCTTTGGGTGACTGGGTTAGTGGGATTTCTGTTGCCTGGTTTCTTGTTTATACAGTGAAATTTTCTCAATCAGAGAGTTGTGGAGTATGTGTGGAATAGAACATTGATTTCTATGAATCTCAATAAGACTGACAGTATTCAATTTATTTCTTACAAACTGTCCCTAACTGTTCTTGTAAAGGCCATCTCACTCTGGCTGAGACAGGATCCAGCCTGGCCTGCCAATCATTCCTTATGCCAAAGCACCACAGGGAGATTACCAGGAGCACAAGGGACATTCCCACTCACCCACAAGGACAGTCTCAGGCCAGGCAGGGATTCCCCCGCCCCCTTGGTGTGGGCCTCCTGAAGACTTAACCCCTGCGGGCAAGCTTTCTGGCGTCATGGTGACTGGACAGGTGGGTGCACCAAAGACAAATAGGTGTTCTGAATTTCAAGCAAGTAACATGGCGAGCTTTAACAACTTACTCCTCCCCATATTATGAGTTAAGCTTTAGAAACCACAAACGAACGAATGATATATTCAGCCTACAACCTGCCTCAACTACGTGTTCAAGGACCTGCAGAAGAAAATGAAGGACAGTTTGAGGACACCGCACAACCTTATTTTAATTCTGAGGGGGAGCAGGCCTTGCACCCTGCAGAGGAAACAGGGCAAAGTACACCAGGGATGATGTTAAACCTACTCCCTGGTTTATCTGATCATTTTCATGCTTGGTCATCACTTCTCTTCTAGCTCTGCACCCAGGTTCACCAGGAGGAGTGGTTGGCCTGGGTGGAGGGTTAATAGGTGTAGAGATCAGTCCTTCACTTTTCACTTAGTACAGCGGTTGAAAGGTGGCCTCAAAAGGTATGTCCATGTCCCAATCCCTAGGCTCTGTGATCACTGCCTCACTGAGAAGAAGGGTCCGTGCGGATGTAATGAAGGATCTTAATCTGAGACATCCTGGATTATCCAGGTAGGCCCCAATCCAATGGCAAGTGTCTTTATAAGAGAAAGGCAATGGGAGATTTAAGAGAGAAAATAGAGAAGAGAGGAAAGAGGCGTGAAAAGGGAGGCAGAGATTGCAGTGATGCTAAGGAACAAGCCGAGGAACACCAATAGCCACAGGAAGCTAGAGGAGGCAAGGACAGGACTCTCCCCTTAAAATCTTCAGAGATAAGATCTTCATTTCAGACTTCTGGCCGCCACAACGGTGAGAGAATTAATTTCTCTTGGATAAGCCTCCATTTTTTTTTTTTATTTTTTTTTTGGCAATTCATTAGGGCAGTGTTTTTCAACCTTTTTTGGGCAAAGGCACACTTGTTTCATGAAAAAAATCACGAGGCACACCACCATTAGAAAATGTTAAAAAATTTAACTCTGTGCCTATATTGACTATATAAATATAAAGTAATTCTCTTGAATAGGAATCAAATAAACACAAAGAAAGTATTTTATAATTACTTTATTATGAAATATTAAGTAAAGAAAATAGTGAAAAATTATAAAATTCTTGTCTTGTCTGCACCTACGGCACAACAGGCAACATCTCACGGCACACTAGTGTGCTGCGGAACAGCGGTTGAAAAACGCTGCATTAGGGCACAGGAAACTAATACACTTAGAATAGACCTATGTCTTGTTTTAATTTCTTTTATAATTTTTTAAAAGAACATGATTTTTAAAATAAAAATATAATAATCCTACATATTAAAGTGTTCTTTATATACTTGACTATTGCCCATAGTAAGAAACATACTCTTTATACTAAATCTGTAATAGAAAGAAAAGTTTCACAAAATAATTTATTACCCTCATTACGCAGGGAACAGGGAACACTCATACTTTTTATTGTGTTCTAGTCCGTCCTTTAAAAAGCCAGTCACCACTCTCTACATTAATTTCATGAACCACTTATGTGTTTTTCAAAACCAGTTACCAGAATGACCAATTGTGACAGCAATAGGGGGTTACAGGACTACAGCTCTACAAAATGAACTACCTACTACCAGCAAATGCTGACTTTCCTCCTTCTCCCCCTCCTCCTCCTCCTCTTCCTCCTCCTTTTTCTTCTTCTTTTTTTTTTTTTCTTCAGACTTCAGCTTTTTATTGAACATGTTACAAAAGAGCTTTAGTCCAAAGGCCAGCCCTAGCCTGGCAGTTCAGTTGATTAGAGCATCACCCCAATATGCCAAGGTTGTGGGTTCAGTCCTGGTCAGGGCACATACAAGAAGCAACCAATGAATGCAAATTAAGTGGAACAACAAATTGATGTTTCTCTTTCTCTCTCTCTCTCTCTCAAATTAATAAATAATAATATTTTTTAAAAGATCAAAGCCCATGTCATCATCAAATTCCTCAGATATTTTTTTTTAAGATTTAGAGAGAGAGAAGAAGAAAGTGGAAACAAGAAGACTCTGAGGCATTGGCTGATGTGGCTTAGTTAGTTGGGCATATGTTTGAAGCTATAACACTAGTAAATGTTGAGATGCAGCTCAAATGTCACTGAAGCCCTCTCAGCAAAGTGTGCAGGATTTTACCCTGGATGGTATCCTATACAAGCTGATTTTCAACTGGTGTGCTGTAAGAATTTTTAAAATATACAATACCTATTTAGTCTAGAGCACTGACCTCTTTTCCCTTAGATTGTCAAATTAAAGAAAAATAACAACCAACACTACAATAGGCATCTGGGGTGAATGAATCAAAATTACATCTATTTTTTTTGTCATATTGACAAATATATATTTTTTGTGTTCCACAAAATTTCAGTAATTTTACTTTATGTATGCCATGAGATGAAAAAGGTTGAAAATCGCTGTCCTGTACCAGTGGTCGGCAAACTCCTTAGCCAACGGAGCCAAATATAAATAGTACAACAATTGAAATTTCTTTTGAGAGCCAAATTTTTTATCTTAAACTTCTAACGCCACTTCTTCAAGAGACTCGCCCAGGCCGTGGTATTTTGTGGAAGAGCCACACTCAAGGGGCCGAAGAGCTGCATGTGGCTCTCGAGTCGCAGTTTGCCGACCATGGTCCTATACCATTCACCACTCTTGTCTAGAACTGATGCTATCCCAGCTCCTGACCATATGATCCGCCTGTAAACCAGATAAAATCACTTCCAGATAAAATCACTTCAAGTTAGAGAGTGGAGAAGAAATTAAATAAATGCACACATGAAGTTTAAACACACTTCAAGTAGCTGGCTACAAAAGCAACTCATTTGGGAGCTGTAATCAACATTATCTGCCCAAATATCAAGGACCCACTCCCACTGGTGCCCAGGGAGGTGCCTCCACCTCATTGACAAACAAGTGGGAAACGCCCAATGCTCGCCAGCCCCCCACCCTCACTTACCATATCCCCAGCCACTCTCAGCTTTAACAGTAGACACTATTCAATAAATATTAAAGACAGAGCCACCATATACTGTCCATTGAAAAATGCACTGGCAGAACATATTTCCATCTATATAACAAAATTATAATCTATTTGTAAAATCTGAAGTTGAGAAGGATACCCAAACTCTGTCTGGGGATAAAATGGCTGGGGAAGGCACAATTTTCTTTTCTCTCTCTCTTTTTTTTTTTACTCCACACCTCTCCATATTGTTGGGTTTCTTTTTAAAAGGAGTGCAAACTGATGAAATCTTTTTGGAGGGCAATTTGGCAAAACATGTCAAAATTTAAAGTGTGCTTGCCCTATGACCTATCAGTTTATTTCTAGGAATTTGTCCTGCACGTATACTAGCTTAAAGTGCACAATAATACTGTAGTATATAGGAGACTATTTACTGGAATCTTGTTTATCATGGTAAAACAAAAATGTTTGTCTTGACTTCCATCAAAAAAGGGACTATGGTATATAGCAGCAGTTCAGTCAAAGGTGAACCACATTAAAGATGGTGGTCCCACAGACTGTAATACGGCTGAAAGATTCTGAACATCTAATGACATCATAGTGCAACACATTGCTCACATTTGTGGTGATGCTGGTGTGAAAAACCTATAGCAGTCCTAACCAGTTTGGCTCAGTGGCTAGGGCGTCAGCCTGGGGACTGAAGGGTCCCAGGTTCGATTCCGGTCAAGGGCATGTACCTTCGTTGCAGGCACATCCCCAGTAGGCAATGTGCAGGAGGCAGCTGATCAAGGGTTCTCTCTCATCGATGTTTCTAACTATCTATCCCTCTCCCTTCTTCTCTATAAAAAAAAAAAAATCAATAAAATATATTAAAAAATAAAAATAAAAAACCTACTGCACTGCCAGTCATATAAAAGTACAGCATACAATTATATACAGAACATAATACTTGGTAATGATAACAAACAAATATGTTACTGGTTGGTGTCTTTACTATACTATACCTGTTATTTTATTGCGTAAGACAGTACGCTGCGTCACATCAGCGGCAGCCTTATACGTTTCCTATTTACTGTGTCCCTTGGTTGATTTAATCTCATGTTTTGCACAGTGACATGCTGCATAGGCTTGTAGTCTAGAAGCAACAGTCTATATCAGATAGCCTCGGAGTGCAGTAGGCTATGCAATCTAGGTTTGTGCAAGTGCCCTCTATCATGTGCAAACAATGACATAATGGCCTGGTGACCATTACGTCTCTCAGAAAGTATCCCCATCATCAAGTGGAGCATGACTGTAGTTCAGTAACTTACGACATTTACACAATGAATAATATTCTCCCCATAAAAGGGTGGATAGGCCACCATGGCTATGTTTCCTGGGCACCTGTGTCTGTACGTTTGTCCCAGCAGGCGGTGGCCACGCTGCTTTCTGGTAGAGGTGTGTGTTGTGGCTGGGGCCTCTGAGCTGGATGAACCATGCTCTCAGTGGAGGCAGGAGCCCAGGGGATTCAGAACCAGGGCCAGTACAAG